AGTCCTAATTGTAACTCTGTTTTAATAGATTAGATACATGTGTTCAGTTGATTTTGTTGACTCTGATGTTAATTCGTAGAATTTGAGATTTCTCTTTATGACATTGCTAACTCTGATATTCATTTGGGCTTATTGCCAAATTATGACAAGACCATACACAGTCTATTAGTCTAAGAGATTTATGTGTCAAACTTCATGCTAGACTAGATCCACATGTTAGGTTTAGGATTTGAATATGTTAGTGGTATTAGCCCCAACTATAGGATCGCTTGTTGTGATATTCATTAATAGGATGTTCATAATGCCTATGTTCTAGAGTAGCTAACTATAAACCCGAATCTAGGATTGTTAGGTTGTTTAAATATCTTTGAATAACTCTAATAGTCTTGAATACATCTTATTAAGCTAGGATTTTACTAGAAATACAAAAAAAGTTTGATCTAGGAATCCATAGTGAGTATAGATTAACTCGCGCATAACGCTTGACTAGCGTCATCGATTGATATTCCCATAAGAAACTGATCGACGTTGAGTAAAGTGTATCGATCGATATTCATATAGAATAATCGATCGACATTGCTATTGATCAAACATTCTTGTTTGGGTCAATAGATCTAGTTAATAGACTTATTTAGTTACGCAAACGCTTTGCTTGATTTGTTACTTAGTGGTTAAGCTCTTCAATATCATGCAAACAAGTAGATAGCACCTATAGGATTATAATCTCTAATACATGAATAGAAACCCTAGATCTAGCAACCATCATTCCATCAAACAACTCCTTGCCAAGCTGAACAACTGTCTTGTTCATTTTGTTTACTGTTTTATTGCAATTTACTTTCTTCACTGCTTTATAATTTATTTATTGTTTTAACTGCCTAGATTATTCATAACTTTTACATCTTATTGGTTCTTTAGATCCTTGCGAATTTGATCCCTAAAAACTACAACTGAACCTCTTAATGATATCAATACCCATATTACGACCAACTAGCTACTATATATGTAGTCGTTAAAGACCTATTTTCTTGTAATGTTAATAAATACTTATATATTGTTAATATAATTACTACACAATAGTTTTTTAGAACTGGCCAAATCATCGAATATATCATTATATAATATTTATTCTATTACATATTATGGTCAATTACCTATAGCATATGTGAACATGATGAACAGTTCCACGAACATGGATTCCACGATGTAGCCATCCCTATAACACTTGGATTGACAGATGTACTTACATGCTCGATGGACAGGTCCACAACGAACGACTCTATCTACAATATTTTGGAACCTCCAAAAAGCTTAAATCCAATAATCTACAAGAAATTATATTTCTCTGGAAATCGAACTCCAGACCTTCTGTAGAACTGTTGAAACCACACAATAGTTTGAAATTTTCTATAAGCAACTTAATAAGGAAAAAAGAGTTGAACACCAATATGACAACCACACAGTATTTAGAAAAATACAAGTCAAACAAATCTAACCAATTTTTAAGGATTACCATGCAACACATGCCTTACTAGTTACATTATTCTATTATAAATTAGTCTCCATCTTAAATAGAAGTTTAACCATCAAACTAGTAAATCTAAAATTAAAAACTCTAATAAAGTATATTTATCGTAAGAATATCACGAAGAACGATATGTCTTCATCACAGCTCGCTATCTTTTGCATCATCCTGATTGTTTTATTTCCTTTTCATGAATGTATGCATTTATATATTAGGTTCCCT